ACTATAGAATGCATCTTCATTCACCAATAACTTATTTTCAATATGCCAAGTAACACATAGGAGTATGATTCTAGAAATAAACATATACCAAGCACATCACAATAGAAAGACACAGTTACATGAACTGTCTGCCTATCACACATAAGGTTATGATAACATTGTCAGGCAAAGCACGCACGTAAAATGCAGTAGAATAAATAGATAATAAGCAAAGAGGTCGAGTAGTGAACCCATAAGATATATAAGCTGCCAGTGATTTTGATTCAATATTACTACTGTTAATCGTATCTGCTTACTAGAATGCTATTCTATTTAAGGCCAGAAAGAAGCAGCAGTTTAGTCTTGCCCAGACATCCCAGCGAAGTAACACATTGACTTATACACAGTTTGATATAGTCACTTAATAAATATTAACAAAACATTTATAACTGGAAACTTAGTGAAATGTGTTGCCAAAGAAGGTAAAAGCAAGTTTTCCATAACTTCCGAAGCCTAGACTAGGAATGAGGTGCCCAGGTGCTCTTTCTGGCTGGGCTGCCTGCCGGTCTGCTGTCTGGCAGCAGAGATAGGAAAGGACGCTCTTCAGAGTCCCAGAGATCCGAACGCAACGCCGGGTGACAGCCGGCCAGGAGTTCCCTCTGCGCTAGAGATCTGAGCGAGAAACCAAACGTCGGCAGGCCGGGCTCCCTCTCAGGACTGCAGCCGCACACGCAGCCACTTTGCGTGGCGAAGCCAAGGCGTGCAGCCAAGCAAGCGCTTTGCTCTGCTAAACTGCGACTTGCATGAGGTTCTGCCAAGGCGGTGCGGAGCCCCGCGACCCCGTCTGCAAGGGCGTTGGTTCTGTCACAGGGCTGCCTCTGCCGAATGCCACGGCTTCCACTGCGGGACGGGAGAGTGGGAAGGGGGGGCGCTCGCTTAACGTGCAATTGTTTCCTAGGTTCTCACTGGTGACTTGACCTCTCACGTGACTATCCTCGCTAACCTCTTCCTCACTGCGGCATTGCTTCACACGCGAGTTGACGCTTCTTAGTACCTGACCCGACAGGGTCTGTGTGTTATCGTAGAACAGCCCTAATCCAAGAACAGGGACAACTTTAAGCATTGGAAGTAGCTTAGCAATATTTTTCATGCTTAATTTATGGCAATGGCTTATGCACAATATTCCCTTCAACTCCATATACACATAAATACAATAAGTAATTACATTTCGTATGTAAACGTCATTCTTTTTAAACAAACAAACAAAAAAGCGATGCGATGGCACGCCCGGCTGCCACTCCGCACAGTCCCGGGTGTCAGGGGGTTCCCGTGGGGGTCAAGTGTCCGTCTCTGGCCGTGGGTGGGCGTCCTCCGCGGGCACCCGGGCTGGGCTGGCGGCAGCAGCGCAGAGCCAGCAGAGCTAAGGCGGGCGGGAGGGGCTGCTGGCGAGAGGGAGGCGGCAAGAACCAGCCACCGCGGGGTCCCAGTCCCACAGCACGCGCAGGCGCTGCCGAAATGCAGCAAGTCTTGTTTAGACGTCTAGAAAACAACAGCAACAAACAGAATTAGGACGACTGCACCGCGGGTTTTGTTTCACTTTGCTTTACCTGCAACCTAAAATATCAGTATTTGAATTAAAAATGGTATTTATAATATATGTAGAAAGATGATGGACTGATGAATTGAAGGATGTCTGGCTGGCTGGCTGCATGGATGGTTGGAAGGAAGGAAGGATAAGTGGATGGATGGATGGATGGACGCATGGATGGAAGGATGGATTGTTGAAGGAAGAATGAATGGATGGATGAGATGGCTAGAAGAAAAGAAGGAAGGAAGGAAAAAAGGAAATATGGATGGATGGAAGGAAGGATGACTGGATGGCTGCAAGGATGGATGGGTGAAGGAAGAATGAATGGATGGATGAGATGGATGGCTGGAAGAAAGGAAGGAAGGAAAAAGAAAGATGGATGAATGGATGGATGGAAGGAAGGATGCTTAGATGGATGCAAGGATGGATAAAGATAGGAAGGAAGGAAGGACGTATGGGTGAATGGATTCATGTAAGAATGGATGGTTGTAAGAAAGGAAGGAAGGAAGGAATAACGGATGGACTTATGGATGGCTGGAAGGAAGGAAAGAAGGATAGATAGTTGCTTAACTGGATGGAAGGAAGGATAGATGGAAGGGTGGATGGTTGGAAGGAAGGGTGGATGGTTGGATAATTGGGTGGAAGGATGGATGGTTGGAAGGAAGGATGGATGGTTGGAAGGAAGGGTGGATGATTGGATAATTGGATGGAAGGATGGATGGTTGGAAGGAAGGGTGGATGGTTGGAAGGAAGGGTGGATGGTTGGATAATTGGATGGAAGGATGGATGGTTGGAAGGAAGGATAGATGGAAGGGTGGATGGTTGGAAGGAAGGGTGGATGGTTGGATAATTGGATGGAAGGATGGATGGTTGGAAGGAAGGATGGATGGTTGGAAGGAAGGGTGGATGGTTGGATAATTGGATGGAAGGATGGATGGTTGGAAGGAAGGGTGGATGGTTGGATAATTGGATGGAAGGATGGATGGTTGGAAGGAAGGGTGGATGGTTGGAAGGAAGGGTGGATGGTTGGAAGGAAGGGTGGATGGTTGGATAATTGGATGGAAGGATAGATGGTTGGAAGGAAGGGTGGATGGTTGGAAGGAAGGGTGGATGGTTGGAAGGAAGGGTGGATGGTTGGAAGGAAGGGTGGATGGTTGGAAGGAAGGGTGGATGGTTGGATAATTGGATGGAAGGATGGATGGTTGGAAGGAAGGATGGATGGTTGGAAGGAAGGATGGTTAGATAACTGGATGGAAGGATGGATGGTTGGATAATTGGATGGAAGAATGGATAGTTGGATAATTGGATGGAAGGATGGATGGTTGGATAATTGGATGGAAGA